GTGAATACAGGCAGGCAAATCATTAACCTGAGCTTTGCAGAAGTCAGGCTAAGGCGTGACAGAGAGTTAAAGAAGAGGGTTATTTGGAAAGATTTAAGAGAGCCAGACGTGGTGTATGCTTTTAATTCCAGCACCCAGAAGGTGTTGGAAGCAGACTTATTTCTGTGAGTTCCAGGCCAGCCAGAGCTATACAGTGAGACCCTATCTCAAAAACAAACAACAACAACAACAACAAAACAACCAAAACAACTGAGAGGATTTACAGACTTGGTAACTGAGCATGAGTAGGAAGGAAAAATCTGCATCACCTGTTACATTGGGTAATGAAGGCTTGGAGGGCTGAGGCTGGAAAAGGGGCAGAGAGGAGAGAGGGACTAGGGAAGTGGAAGAGGAGGAAAGAAGGGAAGCTGTGGCCACAGTAGGAATAGCAGTGCCTTGTAATAGTAAATTCAGTGAAGAGCTGCTGACCACCAGATTCTAGGGAAAAGAGGTTCTGAGAACTGCCCATGGCTGGAAATGCCCTAAATTGTGCCTTGAAGTTTCTATCCAGAGTCATGAATGAAGATGTTCCTGTCCCTGCTGGGCTCAGCCCAGGGAGGATCCCACAAGAGAACTGGTAGGTTGGAGCACTGCAGGGCAGCTTCCCCCAGCACACTGTCTACCCGTGAACCAAAGCGGATCCCACAGGAACAGACAGACCACTTTCCACATGTATCTTCAGTCTGACAGGAAGAATCTGAAGACAGTCTCTGGAGAGTCCTTTAGTGCATGGGCACACAGAAGCAGAGCCCTTAGTTTCTCAAGCTGAGAAACTCAGGTGCCTCTGCATGTCACTAAGCCCAGGAGTTGATGTTAAAGTTCCTACTTTATTATACAACCAAGACCCAAAGGAAGTGACTTGTCAGGTCACACAGTAAGGTAATGCTGGAGTAGGCCTGGAAACTTGAATTTCCTGAACACTTTGATTCCTGTGACACATGTATACCTTCTGACCTGCAGAGAAATAACCTAGAGAAGACCCCAAGACTTATGTTTTAGTGAGAGTGGCATCCAGTATGTATGGATCAATGATTTATCACAAATCTCTTGTTGATTTTGAGGTAGTGGTTCAGGTGATGTAGACTGATCTTGAGCTCACTATGTAGCTGGGGATGACCTTGAACTTTTGATCCTTCTGCCTCTACCTCCTGAGTACTGGTATTACACATGTGCCATACCATGTACAGTTTTATACAGTGCTAGAGATCAAACACAGAGCAGAAGCAGTCTATCAACTCAGCTACATCCCAGGCCTGATTACAAATTGTGTATCAATAGATGAGACTTAATATCAAATGATGGTAGTACTAATAGGAAAACCTCTTTTTAAAAAATATTTTTATTTTATGTGTATGAGTGTATTGTCTGCCTGTTTGTAAGTACACTGGTGTTGTACAGTACCTACAGAGGTCAGAAGAGGGCATCTGATTCCCAGAGCTGGAGCTGTGGACGGTTGTTAGCCACCATGTAGGTGCTGGGACTTGAACCTGGGTCCTCTGCAAGAGCAGCCAGTGCTCTTAACTCCTGAGTCATCTCTCTAGCCCCTCTTTTTCTGTTTTTGCTTATTTATGGTGTATCCTTGTCTCAGATTTTTGAGACAGTCTCACT